TTTTTTAAAAAACAAGCTTATAAAGAAAATGTGCTTATATAGGAGGTGACTATAGAGAGGTTTGACTGTATATATATATATATATACTGTATATATTGTTAGATACTATAAAAATATACACGAACATTATAAGTGGCTATATATTTGGCATTGATTGGTCTGTATTGTAGACTGTAAATCCAAAAACAAAAATATATTTTTTACTGTGTAAGAAAAAAAAAATCCATTCGTAACCAGTACGGTCTAACATATCTACATTTCGACAGTGATTCCGCAATCGCTCTTTATTTATGAACAATGCGGCCACAGTCTAAATATCGTAACAAATAATTAAAGTAATAATACTTTGAAAACATCATATTGTGCCTTAGTACATGATTTAAGTATCTAATAGAATTTACTGTACAACTGGGGTGCAAATTAATTTAAATATACCCCTGTTAATAATGAGAATCAATCGTCATCATCTATATGAAGTTATATCCTCAGGTTTGCTCTCTACAAAACGAGTTTACAATATATGTTATTATAGTATTGTTAATAGAAAAAATTTTCATATCTGACATTGTCCTGTTAAAAAATAGGAGTTTGAATGTTTAAGCCGTCATGATTGCCCGCGCCATTTTTCCAATAGATTAATAAAAATTCAATTCCATTTTTTCATTAGAATTAACCTTCTTCAGAATCAGATATATCATTTAACTGTGTTAATCCTAAACTTTCTTCATTAAAAGCGTTCAATAACGTAGAATCTCTTGTTTTCATGTCTAATGAGATTGATGGTCGTAATACACCATTACCATTTTGCGAAGACCTATTTAATAGTCCATCGGTTTTTGCAACATTTAGAAGAAATACGCCGGCAAAAATAGTTAGGAACCCACAAAATAGGCTGATAACATTGACCGCATTACTGGTATTGAATCCTTGAAATAGTAGAACAGAAGCGAATATTGTTGATGTTGTAAAAAATACATAATATATAGGATTTACACTGAAAAAAAATAAATTTATTATTAGTAATAGTTTGCAAGAAAAGATAAAATTAGGGAAAAGGAAACTTTACATATTAGTTTCAAATTGATCCAGAGCTTTGTTAAAATAGTTCATTTGTACCAATATACACAGGCCAGAAATGATTATAAACACATAAGTTGATGGATGAGTAAACTGATTGTTACCCGCGAACGTTAATTTGAGAGCTATACCAAATCCTTTGCAAGACATAACAGATATTGACCCAACCAAAGAACAAATAGATAAATATACCAAAGGGTTTTTTTTTCCGTATTTTGGTACAACACGTTGTATCGCGAAAACAGTATACACAGCGACCAGCACACAGTATATTGAGAAAGCTATAAATGGAATTGAATGATAGAAAAATCAATAAAACTATGAGCAAATGATAAAATTAATGACATTAAAAGAACAACACCTGCCAGGTTGGAGAGCAAAGGCAAGAATTTCGTCAACAGTCACAATATCTCTATCTGCTGGTGCATGTATCACAATATTTATCGAACCGATCAAACACAAGCCACACCCTACCGTCCCTATTCGCCCAAGATTTTCCTTGAGAAATAGTGAAGCTAAAACAGCTCTAATAATTTCCAAGCATTTTATGTAAAGGATAAAATAAGACCACTTTTGCAGTTCACAGATTATGTATAAATTTAAAAAAACTTCAAACATTCATCACTTACCCGATTAAAACACTCAAAGCACCGAGGGGAGTTACGAGGATAGCGGGAGCAAATGAATAGGCAGCAAAATTGAGCAATTCACCAATCACCACTAAAAATTTTTGAACAATAAAATCAAAGAAACATTGAAGAAACATAAGCAACTATAAATATACAAATCACAGGATTTCAGAAAAATAAAGGTTCATTAATATACTTGTGCTCATTCCTATCCACCAGATCGGATTCCTTAGGTAACTATGGTCTTCACTAGAGGATCCTATAACAAAGTAATAAATGAGTTAAAAGCAACCAGACTAGTGAAATATAGAAGTCATTAACGAAGCTACCATGTCTACGTGTTGAATCGATTAGGCCCTTTTTCGTTATGATAAAAGACGTGCCGATCAACAGACTAGAAGAGACAGCCAGTGCCAACCCGATATATTTGTCGTGATCACCAACCATTCTTTATAAGCTTTAAATATTTTTTCACAACTATTGACTGTTGACGAAATCAAAAATAAAATTCAAGAGCAAAACTTAATTACTTAACCCTGTCTCAGGATTTTTAACCTGTTCCATGTTGTACAATTTTGATAAAACTGATACATTTATAAATTTTTATAATGTTAAGTTAACCGAATTTGGAAATTTTAATACTTCAGATCTATTTTTAACTTCGGCACATCAGAATATATTATTCCACTTTTCCCATTTAACCTCGTAGTGTTTGTTGATTAAAGATAGTCTTCATTTGCCATGAAAATTATTTTAAACATAGATCAACATAACAAAAAAAAGAATGCAATCTTAGGCTGGGTGAAGTTTTATTACTCCGTATCTCTCCGTTTTTTTCGAATGAAACATGTTTTAACATGTTTGATTCCTGAACATAGAAATTATAATATTAGAATATTAATAAACATCCTATAATACGTATGAAAAATAAGTTATTTCAATATCGATATTTGTTAAATAAATCTCATCTTTAAAAGTAAGATAACGAATTACAGTTTAGAAAAAAACTAAGCACGTGCGAAAAAGCAAGTTTATATGTAAACGATCTACTCTTCCGAAATGATTTAAAGAAAAAAATCTGCATAATGGTCGTATTGTAAGCTGCCACATGCGTCTTTGTTTTCCAAGATCAATAATAATAAGCTGCAACATAATGGCGATTGGTTGAAATTCCCCCAAAACCTGATTTTTATGTTAATTTATTGCCCGAAGAATTGCTGATAACAGATATGGCACAACACTACGTATAAGGGAATATGTCATATGGTCATGTATGAGATTTTTTACGGACGTACGTACGTACATTCGTTCTTAACGATTTTTTGAAGATATTAAAATTAATGGTATTTTACGAGTTTTTTTGATCTATTAATGACAAAATTTTGGATAATTAATATGTAAACAGTAAAGAATATGGGCGTAAAGTTTACAAATATTTTGAATTTTAGTTATAAATAAATCACAATAGATTTATTATAGTAAAAGTTTTAGAATTTAATCTTGAATTAATACCAGTATTTTGCTAGAAAAATATTTTTTAAAAACCTTTGTTGATATTTGCTATAGTTATGTCCCGAAGCGTAGCGAGAATTCATTATTACCCTAGTTGCCGCACCAAAATTTGTCACGACAGATTTTCGGATTGATTGGCCGTATTATGTAAACAACGTATCGGTATAACTATGTATTTTTTATAAACTGATTGTAATCGATTAAAATCTGATGATTTTAATCGATTATTATCACCCTTACCGATTACACGCGATAAGGATTTTTACTGATTATAATAAAGCTAATTGATTATAATCGATTTAATTTAATCGCTTTTGATTTAAATCAATTATTATCATCCTTACCGATAATAATCGCTTAAAAATTGATTATAATCGATTAACTGCTTGCAACTGATTATAATCAGGTTTTAAATTTTCCTGATGATCTTCTAATAATGGTTTCTTAACAACTATTTGATTAATTAATAAAAATTTTTTTATTTTAATTTTACATACTGAAATAAAAAAAAAACTTTATTGAATTTGATCTGATAGTTCAAAAAAACTTTGCTTAAAGTTTTAAAAAAGTATTGAAAATCAAAAGATAGTTGTTATTAGTATTTAAAATCCAGATTTAAAATATTATTTTCAAATAAACTTATTTTAAAAGGAATTTATAATTTATCGCTGTAGCGATGTATCGCCAGTCTATGCGGAGTTTGAAATTTTGCCTACAGATCATGATTTGTAACCACAATTTGAAACTCCGCACATAGGACTATTGGACTAGCGATACATTGCTACGGCGATAAATTATAAAACCCTAATTTGAATTATTAATGTTTTTAAAAAAATTTTTATAGAGAATATTAATTTTTTAATATTGTTTATAATTTAATTAAATATTTTTAAATATAGTCAGACATCTCTAAATACATTCTCTTAAATACAACATCTTTCTAAATATATAATAAAAAACTAGCCTCATAATAGGACTTATAAATAAATATATGTTTTTTATTTTGCAATTGTATACTAATTGTCTGGCCCACTTATAAAAACTTACTTTATAAATACAACTACATGATTATTAGCCAATCAAATTCATTATTTCTAGGTTACTAAAGCTATACTTATTACATGATAATAGTAATATTATAATTTTATTAGTGTTCTCTAATTGCAACTCTTTTTAAATATATACTTTAAAGCTGGTTTTAATAATATGCATTTAGAAAGGTCTAACTATATATAAATTAAATAGTATAATTTATTAGATACAGCTTTAGAAATTAACTTAACAACTTTAATTAATTTTTTTTTTTGTTTTTTTTTTATGAGTGGTCATGCTGTACTTTATTAAAAGCAGAAATAATTATATATGCAAATACTATATTATTTCTAATTCTATATATCTTGTCAATTTAAAGTACAACTCATTCGGTTATCATAGGTACCTATATATAATCTGCAAGACAGAATTTATTTCAATGCTTAATTAGACCTTTTGGTTTTTTCAAGAGAATCATTAACTAGTTTTTGTAGCCCATCATGACCACCTTTTTTCTTTTAAATTTCTTTCACCTAGATCTTGGCAGAAAGATTTTTTCAAACCATTTCTACGATGAAGCAAATAAAAAATAAACTAAAACAAGAAAAGAAAAGAGTAAAAGAAAAAGAAAAAGGAAATAACAGCAAAAAAAATATATACTATGCAATCTAAATGAATAACCTAAATATAAAAAATAAAGATAAAAAAAAACAAAAGAAAAAAAAGGAAGGCATGATATACAAATAAGAAGAGTGCACTATTATAACCTGTGTAAGGCTAAAAAATTATATAATAAATTGCAACTTTTAATATATCTCTATTGTAAAGCTTCACCTTAATGTTTAGGATTCTTTCTGAATACATAACATATTGAATATCTTCTAGATTAGGCACTAGATTCATCTCATATCATAGCACTATGTTAATCAACAAAACAAACTTGTAGTTATATTCTACTAAGTATGTTCTAATTAGATAAATATAAACAATGCTGATTTTTTGGAGAGGGTAAGCTGCTTTGCTTACTTTTTGTCAAAATTTTTGAGGAACTAGGAGGCAGTGGGAGAGTAGAAAAATAAAACCACTTGTATAAAAATTTTAGATATTAAGGAGAGTTGTTCACTAGCAAAAAATCTACTATATTCAACATGGAGCCAAGTACTTTTTCTTTGGTAAGTAATAAACTCTAAGCCTGTTGGCAAGTAGCATATAAGAACTACTTCTAAATGACAAATGCCTTCCTGCAGTAAGTGATAAACTCTGAGACTATCGGCAGGTAGTGTATAAAAACTATCTTTAAACAATAGATGCTGTCTTATAGATTGACCTTAAAACTTAGTTTCATACTATTATATACTAGTTCTTTTGTTTTTTGTAAGTTGGTTTTTCTCTAAAAATTTGGTGCCAAGTAATCATCAGAAAGAGTTAATTGCTTATATATGACAACTTTAATTAATTAATAAAACCAAATAAAAAATATTTAATATTTTTATTTTTATTTTTATTTTTTTAATTTTTGATAATTTTGCTAAAACTTAAATACAAAATTTCATAAAACAAAATATAAAACTATAATAAATTTTTTTGCAATTGCAAGCCTGGTATTACTTAGCTACAAATACTATACTTAATATAACTTGTTATACTAATTTATATATAGTAGAATATCACTATATAATATAATTATATTATAGTAGTATTCTACTTAAATTAGATTATAAAATTTAACTATTACTATATAATCTAACTATTACTATATAATCTGAATACCACTATATAGTTGGAGTATTGCTATATAATCTAGCTACTATTATATGAGGTAGAGTCAATAGAAAATGACAAATCATTTTTAATACAATTTTTTTAATTTTTAAATTAAAATATCTCAACAACTAATTAATCAAATTTGCTAAATTTTTTTT